ACATACATGTAGGCAAAACACCCAGAATGCATTGAAAAAAAATAAAGGTTAAATATTTTCTTTTTTAAAGGTACTGCAGAGGGTGGGAATGGGCTAGTGATTTAGGAGTGACAGGTACTCCAAAGCTGAAGGTTGTCTCTGAAACGGGCAAAGTGCTGGGTCATGCCAGAGAATATCTGATTACCACACTGTATAAGAAAAGAAAAAAAATGGGTAGGAGAAATGAGAGCGCAGGGAGGTCAGTGATGGCCAGCAGGAGGCAGGAGGGATTTCAGGTGAGCTTGTGACAGACACGTGGGTGGCTGAGGCTCCGGCTCTGACTCGCTGGAGAAACAACCCTTCCCCGCAGGAGATGGTGGGGGAGGGGGGCTCGGCATATGCACGAGGAAAGAGAAGCATCTTTACTCAACAGCATTGGTTTGTGGCCCCAAATCCAGGCTGACTGGCTGAACTCCAGCAAACCCAGTCCTTTTCTCCTTAAACGAGGGTCCTTCCCGAATCCGCTCTGCACCTGAGAGGAAGGTGACATCCAAGAGAACCTTCCCGAGCCTGCACCCCTCTCTCCTCCCTCCATTCTCCTTTCTAAGAGGCACTGAGTCGGAAGCCCCTTTAATTACCACAGCGACTGAATTTAGCAGCCAAAGGAAAAACAATGCCCAAGGCCAGTGCCAGCCGGTGGGAATAGATTCCATCCACTTGTGCAACACTGCGTTTTCTTGTAACCGTGTTAGAAATAATAAGGGTTTTCAAGACTTTGGCTCGGCAGGTAAAGGCACTTGCAGAGAAGCCTGAGTTCGATCCCAGGACCCACATGGTGCCAGGAGAGAGCCAACTCCACAAAGTTGTCCTCTTTTTGTTTGTTTGTTTGCTTTCTTTTTTGTTTTTTTGAGGCAGGGTTCATCTGTGTAGCCCTGGCTGTCCTGGAACTCAGTATGTAGACCAGGCTGGCCTTGAACTCACAGAGATCTGCCTGTGTCTGCCTCCTGGATAGAGTACTGGGATTAAAGATGTGCCCCTCCATCACCAGGCTTATTATTTAAAAATTTGATTTTATTAAAATTAACAATTCAAGGCAGGCACAGCGGCATGCCTGAAGTCTTACCTCTCAGAAGAGAAGAATCCTTAGTCTCAGGCCAGTCTGGGCTCCTTGCTGGTCTCATAGAAATGAACAAACTAATAATTCAGTTTTTCAAGGCCAGTAGCCTCCCGTGATGATAAAGAACACAGGAGGTTCATGGCCGGCCTTGTAGCTTGTTGTAAGACCATGATGTCTGTCTGTCTTTCTCCCTCTCATTTCTATTTATTATGCATCAAAATATCTCCTTTCCACTCTTGCCAGGGGCACAAAACTCTGGGCCTCCCACAGACTGGGCTCTACTCTGGGGCTGGCCGCCAGCCCTCCACATCGTGGGGCTGGAGTCTGAACTCCTTTTTTCTTGTTCTCTCTTCCTGAGAGCACAGGGATGTGGCCACAGAGGTGGAAAGCAGCCAGAGGCTGCGCCTTCTTTGCCTACACTGATTGGAGGAATAAATGAATGAGTTGTGAAGGCCCAAGATTGTGCCTGTTCTCAGTTGGTGTAACATTATGCAGAGAAAGAGCCTGCGGAGGATTAATTCTCAGATGCCTGAAGCCTGTAACAGAATATTGTTTTCTTGGTTAAGAAATAAACAATGTTGCTGGGCGTGGTGAGGCATACTTTTAGTTCCAGCGTTCAGGAAGGACGAGGTAGGAGGATCTCTGAGTTTGTGACTAGCCTGGTCTACATAGAGACCCTTTCCAGGCTACGTAAAGAGACCCCGTCTCAAAAAAAAAAAGAAAAAAGAAAAAAAAAAAAAGCTTCGGTTTGTGGCTGAGAATCCAGACTGATGGGTTGTACTGAATGAAGCAAACCTGGTCCTGGTCCTTCTCCAGGGCAGCCAAGCCCACACAGAGAAAGGCTGTCTTGAAACAAATAAAAACAGACAAAAAAGAAAGAAAAGAAAGAAGCAGTGTGAAAGGGAGATAGACCTGAGACCTGTTTTCTTTGGCAAAATTCAGGACTACTTTCATTTATTTTATTTTTGTCTCTCCTTTTTTGTTTTTTTCAGGTGGTTTTATTTTCATATTTTTATGGATTCTTTTTTTTTTTTTTTCTTTTAAATTGGCTTGGTACTGGCTCACAACCATCTGTAATTCTAGTCCCAGGGGATCTCATGCCTTCTGGCTTTCCAGAAACTGCACACACGTGATACACAGACATACATGTAGGCAAAACACCCAGAATGCATTGAAAAAAAATAAAGGTTAAATATTTTCTTTTTTAAAGGTACTGCAGAGGGTGGGAATGGGCTGGTGATTTAGGAGTGATTGTCTCTGAAACGGGCAAATTGCTGGGTGGTGCCAGAGAAGGTTCTACCTGCCGCAATTCATGTATTTTAAAGATCACAGCTGGAATTCAGCTGAAACTCAAGAATTTAAAATGTGCTCAACAAATTGAGACAAATGCTGTTTGAGCCAGTAGCTGCAAAGATGCTCAAAGCCTTGTCCTACCGTGGCCTGAGCCAGAGTCCAAGTTAGATCTTCATCTTGAGCAACAGATAAGAGCCCTAACTGTGACCAGCTTCCTGAGGTTCTCTGTGGGAGTGGGTTCCCTGAGGTTCTCGGTGCATTGTGGGAGTGGATGCCACCTGTTGCCAGGGGTCCTTGGTGCACTTCGGGAATAGATGCCAGAGACTGTAAACTCAGAGGCCCAGTGAGGGAGACCAACCCGGAGGGACGGAGCGCACCACAGTGGCCTCCTGGCTGGCATGCGCTAACAACACCTACCTATCCTTAGATTGCTTGTGAGATCTCTGTGAGCTCTTCTGTCTTTGCTGGATATGAAAGAGGAGGAAGTATGAAGGGACCTTTTAAAATGTACCCAGTTGGGAGCTAAGAGCAAAGGAGGTATGCTCAGTAGAAAGGGGACAATGGGAACAATGGCCGGGTATCAGTTCCAAATGCAGACACCTGCAGAGTGTAAACCTCGGTCCGGCCCCCTGCTAGTTTGTGTTGAGGTTTGTTAGTGTGAAAGCTAAGCAGGAGGACAAAGGATCCTCCAAAAGAGCACTCAGGCTTTACCGCGCCCTGTGCAGGCCCGGGGAACACAAGCCGGGACTGTTCTAAAGACTGCACGGATCACACTATTTGCATTCGTACCGTTCCTCACAAACAGCAGTGCGCATGCTTTTATTTGTCTGATTTTAATCTTTCTCTACCAGGTGAGGTGTCCGCATAATTCACTTTGAATCTGAAAACACTGTTTAAAAAAAGAAGAAGAAAAAAAAAAAAAAAAAAGAAGAAGCCCTGGGGTGAAGAAAGGAAAAATCTGAGAAATGCTGCTTGCCCTGTTTACACTGTGTTTAAACCATTCATTACTGCCACTGGTCCTGAAGACCGAATTCCAGCCCGCTGGTTCTCATCACTGCTGCGGATCTTGCCTGTCCCAAAGTCTCCAGGAACAAATTCCAAAGTAGGGCTAACTCTAAGCTAAAATTCAAATCACAGCAATCTACTCAAAACATCTTCAGCGATTACTCAGGAAGGCCTAGGTTCAAAGCGCCTTTGACTAGAGATCCGTGGGCCACCATGTAAAACATTCCAGCAGCCTCACACACCCAACTGAAAAACACAGGTTAACTTTATTAGAGAATATTTATCCCATCCGACTTGTCCCAAATCCTCTCTCTGTCTCACTCCTCTCTCCTTAGCTCTCTGTGGTGCTGGGGATTGAACCCGGGGCCTCATGTATCCTAGGCAAAGCTATACAGGTCTCAGCCCTCAAAATTCTCCTATTAATATGTAACCCGTGTAAAAATCATTCCTAATCTGTTTTTCTATTGTTGTATCAGGCCTTCAGGATCCAGTGAGTTATTTTACGCTTACAGTGCACCTCAGTTGGAACACTCAAGTTTCAGACACCAAGATGAAATGTCCTTTTTCTTTTCTTTTCTTTTTTTCCCCAATGCTGGGTACTGAATATAGGGCCTTGCATATACAGGCTAGTCAAGTACTCTACCACTGAGCTGTAGTCCCAGCCTGAAATGCCCTTTTAAAATGATAACTACTGGGGCTGGAGAGATGGCTCAGCGATTAGGAGCACTGGCTGCTCTTCCAGAGGACCCAGGTTCAATTCCCAGCAATAACAGGGCAGCTCACAACTGTCTGTAACTCTAGTTCAAGGGTATTTGACCCCCCCCACACACACACACATGCAGGCAAAACACCAATGCACATAAAATAAAAAAGAAAAAGGAAAGGAAATGGTAACGGGGGCTGGAGAGATGGCTCAGCTCAGAGGTTATGAACACTGGGTGAGGGCACTTGTCTTGAACCCAGTGACCTGAGTGTCATCACCTGGACCCACATGATGGACAATAGCTTCTGAAAGTTGTACACACACACACACACACACACACACACACACACACACACACCCTGCCCAACACAGTCTCACAGGGCTGGTCTGGAATTCACAACTCCTCCCCCCCAGTGCACCACTCTGCCCAGCTTCTTCTACTCTGCACACTGCTTTAGTTTCGTCCACCACATTGCCTGTTTTTACAT